AGCAACGAGGAGGTAAAGTGCCTTTTATGAGCTCTTCGTGAGTTCGCAGGTAGTGAAAATAAAATCATAAGTACACGCAGCAATGAGCGCGCTTAGTCCAGCAGACGGCATTAGGTGTGTTCGACTTAAAGCGGCGCTGAGCAGACCGATCAGTGAATGGGTGCTTTGATGTCAAACACTGATCGCTCTGCGCAGTGCAGCTTTAAGTCGAACACACCTTTTGATTTGGGTGTTCGGTGAGTTCCGTCGCGAAATATACGTCATTCAACCCGACCAATCGGGTTGTGAACGTATCACTATGCCTTTAGGTTCGGTATCTTTAGGTTCGCTGTCAAAAATGCCAGTGTGAACGCACAGCGGACCAGGACCAAATGTATCATTTTCTTTTTTGGTCCGGACCAAACGAACCAAGAGAACCGAACTACAAGTGTGAACGCACCCTGTCAGTCTACTGGCTGTTTGTTGCTGTAGGTTTGCAAAGCAGAGATGTATACCAAAGACACAGAGATGGGCGGGAATATGCAGCTCATTTGCATTTAAAGTGATACACAACAAAACAGCTCTTTTGTTTAGACACGCCCTAAAAAGGACATTTTCCAGATATAATAAATTATCTGTGGGGTATTTTCAGCTGAAACTTCCCAGACACATTCTGGGGGTACCCAAGACCAATATCACATCTTGTAAAAAGGGGCATAATGGGTGCCCTTTAACCTTTCTTAATGTTATTTAACAAAAATACAATTGCTCGGTGTTCATGTTAGTTCACAGTGCATTAACTAATGTTAACAGATATAATTGTGATTTTAAATATGCATTACACTGAAAGAAGTTTTAACTCAGTAATTCTAGTAAATTTTACAAATACTTACAAAGAAATGGCAAGTAACACATTAAATTGAACATGAAAGTTGAAAGACTGAAATATTTTTGGACACACTTAAAATCATCATCTGTACATAAATCTTCTGTTCCAGATTTGACCACATTATTATTTATTTTTTTCTTTGGTCTTATTTAATTGTTCTTTCTGTTCTCATGTCATATATGTATGTATGTATGTACCCAGAGCTCCAAAAAAACACAACAAATTCCTTGTGTTTGCACACACTTGGCGAATAAAGCTAATTCTGATTCTGAAAATCATTTAAATGAATCCTCTAGCACCAAGTACGACATAACTTTGTAACTCACCCCATGTTTGTATGAAGCCACATCAAACTGTGTGGCTTGTTGAGGAGACGTGTGCTGTGACTTTTTTTATGCAATTGAACTTGTATGGTGGGCAATAAAATGGAGCAAAAAATCCCATAAACTTACAGTAAATGGGGGCCTATAGATACCTGATTGTTTCAAAACAATAATTGGTAACACTTTACAATTAGATTCATTAGTTAACTACTTTAGTTAACATGAACTAAGAATGAACAATACTTCTACAGCATTTATTAATCTTAGTAATGCCAATACTTACTAATGCATTATAAAATCAAAAGTTGTGCTTGTTAACATTAGTTAATGCACTGTGAATTAACAAACTATGAACGACTATTTTCATTAACTAACATTAACAAAGATGAATAAATACTGTAATAAATGTATTGTTCATGTTAAATACATTAACTAACATTAACTAATTGTAAAGTGTTACCGATTAATTTAAATTGTGATATATATGGAGTCAAAACAGTGTAATAAAGCACTTGCAATTTCAAGAATAAATATAAGAAAAAGTCTCAGTTGTAAGTAGACCATGACTAGTTGCATAAACTGCAGAGAGTAATTCCCCCAAAAACTTTCGGTGATCAGTTCTTAAAAGAACCATTATTTCTTAGTGTGAAAAACATAAAAAAAAAACAAAGAACTTTTTTCCACTATAAAGAACCTTTTGTGGAACGTAAAGGTTCCATGGATGTTAAAAGTTCTTCATGCAACCAAAGATGACAATAAAGAACTTTTGTTTTTAAGAGTGCAACAACACTAAAAGCCACTCTGAACACTTTAGCAACACAAAATTGCTGAAGTGTTAACTAAAGTAGTCAACTAATGTTAACTAATGAACCTAATTGTAAAGCGTTACCAATTATTGTTTTGAAACATAATCAGGTATCTATAGGCCCCCATTTACTGTAAGTTTATGGGATTTTATGCTCCATTTTATTGCCCACCATACAAGTTCAATTGCATAAAAAAGTCATAGCTTTTTTATGATATCACTGAATTCAATGATGAACTGCCTTTAACTGAAAATTGAGTGTTTACTATTGTCCTTTTGCACTGACACACTATTTTCCTATTTTGATACTGTTAAGCTGCTTTGACACAATCTGTATTGTTAAAAGCACTATATAAATAAAGGTAAAAAAAAAAATCCTTGCATGCAACAGTCAATACAACTCACATTTTCTTCAGAAAATATAAAAAATAATAAAAAATATTTATTAACTATAATCACTAATGTTATAATTAATGCAGCAATATACAAACCCCTCTTAAGCAGGCTATACTGCTAAAAACATGTTGAATAATTTAGACTGTTAAACTGTGTGTTCACACCTTTAGGGTTCCGCCTTTACACAAGTCACTCTTTACATTCACAAGCGTGAAAAACCCTGAGAATTTGTATACTGCTGTCTGCTTCTTCAAAATGCAGCTAAATGATCAATATTATTGCATTCTTATCAAACACATCATATAATTATCAATCCTGATAAGAAAATCCACAAGCATCAAATCACTATAGCTATTATAGCATCTGCTCTAATATGCTGCACTAACACAAGTATAATCAAGAACTAAACCATCAACAGCAAACTGAAAAATCATAATAAAAGACGCTCCTTTAAATAAATCAGCACGATCTCCCAGTGAACTCACCCAGCCAGTGAATAAGTGTGCAAGAATACAGTGGCTCTGAAACGAGTGAGAATCACAAATACACCCAGAGGAAATGCATGTTTCCATTACTTTAATAAGGAAGAGGTGTAACCAGGGTTTCACTATCGAGCATCACGACCCTGATCTGGGGTCAGGTTTATCATCAACTCAAAACCACAGTCTCATTTTTTGGCCTTTCAGAGTGAGAAACAACACAAACTCTGACCAGGTGGTCAAATGCCTATTATACAAGCATAAATGATAATATAATCTCTGGTGTTTATTTGAGGAGCATATGAAGGTCAGTCTTCTAATTCAGAACGCCACAAAAGTCTTTCACCAATAGCACTGCTGAAGCAAAGAGCAGGACTCACCATAATGATGGCATGTGCTGGAACAACGGTCACTAGGTTATTAGTTTGTCTGTGGAGTCTTTTCAAGGAGTGTGACATTTAGAGTATCCTGCCAGGCAGAATTTAACAGACAAAGATGTTGGTCAACATCCAAGTCAGGTAACGGTGAATCCAAGAGCAGATGAGAACAGGAATCCATGAAGTGCTGTTTAAAATTTGAACCAAACTGAGGAGAATAGGACCGAGACAATGTTATAGCTTTTGAAGTAGAAAGAGAGAGATTTTAAAGTGTGACAAACATGCAAAAAGATAAGAAATCAGGAAGGGGGACAACACTTTTTCACATTTTATTATATATATTATATATATTTTATTTATTTTTCTAAAGACTTCTTAGTATTAAAATAATGGGAATTGGGGCTAAATGTGCTTAAACGTCCTAAAAAAACAGGACTTTTTTTTTATTATTTCATTTACAATAAAATATAGTTTCTTGCTATGTTTTGGTGTGAAATATGACCCAGATATGTTCTTGACAGGTTTAGTGAGACTCATGTATCTCATTACATTTCACTGAATAAGTTCCATAAAAGCAAACAATTTTTTGGGAAAGCTGTACGTGTCTGCATTCAGTTCTACCGTCTGTCTGATAAGAGCGTGTCAATGTCCTGTATGGCTCTGGAGGTTTTCTGCAGAGCCTCAGAGATGCAGTTCTCTGTGAGTTTGATCTCAGGTCGGTCAGAAGAACGCTCACAGCTCAAAGATCTTCCTGTAGGACGCAGGACGGGGCTGTTCTCCAACAAAACTGATGGATATGTTAAAGAAATATCTACCCAAGGGCATTCTGCTCTCAATAATCAAATTCCACACCAACTCAGTCACATAATCTAACAAAAAGGATACAGTTAAACCTCTTGATCTTTTCCAGTTCAGAAACAACAGACCTGTAGGGATGTAAGAAATCAGGATGAAGAAGAGATAGTTCACTCAATTTTGTTTTCTACCATAAATACTCAAGTTTTCCGTGTAAAACTTTGTACACCAACAAACAAGCTTCATTCTCTACTTTAAAATTCCATGGAAAATTCACATTTTCAGGTGAAATATCCCTTTAAGAGTGACTGACATGCATCTTCCAGGTCATGTGATGCAAATGACTATATAATAATAATAAATAATGATCCAGGGAATAGGAGTTCCTTAATACCTGTACGTTATTGGCTGAGGTGTGTCACAATGGGCGGAGTCTGAGAGAGCCACGCCCACTGCATTCATGCTCTGATCTGTCTGTTTTACCCAGTCACACCACTGCACCACTGCCGACACATACCTGAGAGAGAAAGAGACAAAACAAGAAATTAAGGATTTTCAGAAGCAATTTGTGTAATGAATATTACATCATCTCTTTACCTTTGATAAGTTTGGTCTGTCTCAACTTGGACAAGAGTTTGGTGCCCATCTGGCAAATTGAGCTGGCACCACCTGTGAGATGGTCTGGTTTCTGCCCTGAGTTTCTGTTCCATTTCTCCACACTGCCATCACAAATACATAAAAAAAATTTAAAATCATGAATTCCTAACCTTTAAAAAAATTACAGGATTTGAAACCATTTTGTTTATTGACATGGTTCCAACAAAACTGAATTTACACTCCTTTGAGAATAAGTGACATGCTGATTGATTAAGGCTGGGACAATAAATAAATAACGAAGGAAAATTAAAGTAAATTATATAAATGTAAAATAGGAAAAAAAGTTTTTCAAAAGTCACAGTTTTTCACTAAATTAACACAAAGAAAAAATATATTTAATTATAATTTATGTTCAACAATTCAATTATACATAGTAATAAATCAGCAATATTCAATCATATTATTATTACATAATAATAATAATTGTTATTTATTTAAAATAAAGTTTTAATTTATGAAAAACACCACCCAGCACTGCACTTCTGTGAACATGTTTGCACAATGCTGCAAACAAATTGTTGAATTTTAGTTTGAATATACATAAATGGAACCTAATTCACCTTAAAACGTAGCATTTTAATGGTTGTAAGCATATCAAAATGTTTCAACTCATTAACTGGTGAAGAGCTGAATAAATGTACAAGTAAGTGAGTTGATTCATTATCTGGAATTAGGGCTGTCAAAATGGCTGAAAAACTAAATTCGAATTTTGTACTTAAATATGATCGAATTATATTCGAATTTAAAATGCATAATTTCAGTTAGGGTGAAGAAAAGCTTTTGGATTCTCTCTTGAGGGCGCATCGAGAAAAATATTACTAATGCACGTTTATTCAAAGCATAAGATAACATAACATCTGTGAAAAAAAGTGCATAATGTTTAAAATAATGTTTATAAACCAATTATAATTAAGTTGCTTAAACAACTATAAACAAAACAGCAT